TGCCCCTGCTACACGTCATCTATGTCCTCAACCAGCCAGAAGTCACAGTTGGTTTTGTCCTGATTAGGCCTGATTTTGGGGCTGTCCTTGACTGGCAACACACTGATACAGGAAATGCCAGTAATGCTGCATAGCAATCCAAGAAGTGCAAAGCCACATGGGCACCATTCTGCAGTCCCCACCTCACTCTGTATTAGCAACAATGTAGAACAGAGGTCGGCAGCCTTTTGCTGGCATGGGCCAGAGTTTACAAACCAGCTAGTCACTACAGGCTAAAAGTCTGTGCCTCACCCTCTCCAAGTGGCTGGCTGCTAGATTCCCAGCCCTTTTGCAGTAAGGGGAAGCTCAGACACTTCTGCAGTGAAGAGTACTAGAGAGTGAAGGGGTGCAGTAGTACCGGCAAAGGTAATGCATAGTTAACCTTCCACTTAGCTGCTGGAGTGGAGAGATCTTGGCTTTATGCCCACTTTATGGAAGTGGGAGACTCTTCCCTAGTTTGTTCCTGCAGCCATATGGCTTGAGGGCAAGCGGAACTCAGGGGCATCCAAACCCCAAACCTCTGGGATTGGGCCTGCATGTAGGATGCCCGCCAAAGGATTTGGGAACATCTGAATCCCCAGATGAGGGTGGAGGATATCTGCTGGTAGTACAGCCACTTATGCTTCTGGACTGACTCATGGATTTGGAATTGATTTGGCTGATTTGTCTTGGACCACGGAAAATTTTTTAAAAAAATAAAATAAGGGGGCGAGGGGTGATATTGAACAGTTAGCCAAGGAGGCGGCAGCAGTCTCATTTTAGACTGTCTGGATCTGAAAGAAAACAAGCATTCACTGAATTGGCAAAACAACCATGGTTCTCAGATAACAGAGGGCCCCATATCACAATGCTAAGTGAAGTTATCTAAATAATATCACAGAAGGGAGTAAAGTGCCCTTTCCAATATAGAGATAAGTATTTTTTTTTGTTTTCTTCAGGATGCTCAAACACAAGATGGTTTCCCTGCCCTAGTCATGCAAGGACTGTAGACCCGGAATTTTATAAACTTGCTTCAGAGCTATTTTTGTTTTGACTCAAAATATTATTACAAAACAAACAGAAAACAGAAAAAGAAAATTTAAGTGTTTAAAATAAGCTTTCTTGCACCTCTGCTTACATTTCCTAAATTTGATCAGAACAAAAAGTTGAAAAACAAATGATGGATTAAAAAAAAAAAAAAATCTTAAAAGAAAAAAAACCTTTACCCATGAGACTGAGCAAATAGACAATTCATAAGCTAGCCTGGACACTACTAATAGTCCAACTGTGGCAGTACAGAATGAAAAACTCACCTAAAAAAAACCCAACCCAACAACTTTTCTATACCAAGACGGTTATCTCACACCAAGTTACACTATGTGGTAGCTACCCTGATATTCGTATCCAAGTTACTTAGCTATTACATATTAATTAAGTCTACATGTGACTGCAGTATAGACAGACAGACTTCCAGACAAAGTCTAAATCTCTCTTTCAGACTGATTCAAACTTTGAGTCCTTCACAAGCTCCAGTCTCCAGCCCAAATACAAATTTATCCTTATTTTGAAGGCCCTTCATAAGTTACTTTCTCCCATTTTATCCAGCCTTTAAGTCCTCATTATCATGGTCGCTTTTTACTGAAAATGCAACGGCTGTCTCCATTATGCACTTGCCTGCTTCTTTCATAAGTACTTTGGTATCTACTTTCATACTGCAGCTTAACCACACAAAACCTACCTCCAGTTTGCAAAGCCACTTCAGAAGTCTTGCAAGACAAATTCCCACAATTGCAAACATGCTAAACTGCCTAGCAGTGCCTAGGTGAGTGACCTATTCATTATCATCTTGTCCTTTTAAACCAGTGATCCTCAACCAAGGTTCCATCAGATCCTTTGAACGATACTGCAAGATGTGAGGAGATAAGCAGATGAATTAAACACCAAGCACAGGGTCAGACTTGTCTCTTGCCTGGATGATTCCCCACCCTCACTGCCCAGCCTTTCTGCAAGGAAGTAAGCCCTGTAATATATAAATTAGTTTTGGAAACTGGGTGCCACTCAATTAAAAAAAAGTTACAGAGGGGTGTCTTAAGTCCAATGAAGACTGCCTCAAATACAGTGAGTGGTGCCTCAATTTCAAAAAAAGGTCACAAACCACTGATTTAAACAAAGCAGCATAAAACCTCATTTTATCCTGAGTAAAGTATGTAAACTTGTGTTCCTGATAATCAGCTCTTATCTTACCCAGGTCCTACTTCATTCTGTTCTACGTTCACTTGTCAGACCTTGTCTTTATTTTGATTGTAAATTTCTGGGGGCAGGATCTCTCATCCTAAGCGTATACAGCACTTACAAAATGGGAACCAGCCCACCAAAAATGAGAACCAGTGGACCTCTTGGCACCACTAAACAACCACTAAGAAAGATTAATAGTAATGAAAGCAAAACACAAGGGCTGATATTTTCTAAAGTACCTTTACACGTAAGTAAATGAACTGGCACTTAATCAGGCTCTTAAGTGGAAAAAATCATTTTTCAGAAGTGTAATTTAAGTGGACATAAGGAAAATCTGCATGCTGGTGCTGGTAAGCCCACTATGTGCACGGAGTGGTTAAAACAGAACACCTAACACAATGTAAATTATATCTAAACAGATATGAACAGGTCCAGATGTCTCCTTGGTACCAACCCAGTGCTGGAAAGGCTGCCAATGGATTATCTCAGATGCCACCTACTCATAAGTAAAATATA